TCTATTTGGAATAGCCAGATAGTTACTTTTCTAAACTTATGTATTTCCAATCAGATAAAGTATACCTAGAATGCTTGCAATATAGAAATTTACTTTGCAGTTTAAATATAAACAATATGTGCAACAGACCAAAGCAGTCATAAATTATACAATGCTGTTTAATCTGTTTAATTTGTAAAATAATAAGCAATTAGGTTATTCTATTACATTTGCCAGTTTTACTCTAGCATATACAGTAAATTAGACTGTGAAACTATGTTTTCACATAACTAATTCTTCTTATGTGTAGGACCTTTGTTTCTTTTTAACCAGGGTTTTGATTTTCAGTCTATGCCATTTCATAAAGTGGATAGAATAGAATAGAATAGAATAGAATAGAATAGAATAGAATAGAATAGAATAGAATAGAATAGAATAGAATAGAATAGAATAGAATAGAATAGAATAGTCTGACTGGATAATAGTCTAATCTAACTGAAATAGTTAATTCTATTCTATTCTATTCTATTCCTGCCAGCATTCTATGACAAAAGAAAGATGTTGCTTTCTTTACAGTATTAGACAGCTGATTAGAAAAAGGCAATACAAAACTCTCTTTTAATACAATATTATTATGTCTAGTTTTTAGAAGACACATAACTTAGATTTTCCTTCAGTATTAAATGGAGATGAAAGGACTTAAAAACTTTCAGAATTTTGATATTTTTGTTATCTGCAACTGTTTGGGAAACACAGTGAAGACATAAAGCTTTTGAAAATCCCATTCTGAACTTTTGTAGGCTTATATTACATAAAAAAGTACATACAAGAATTTTACCAAACCTGTATCACAAATTCCTCACTTTCAAAATGAGGAAACTCCACAATTTCTCTGTGTGTTTTTATTTGTTTGCTTGGTTGGTTTGGGTGTGGGTTTTTTGTTTGTTTTTGGTTTTGTTTTGTTGTTTTTGTTTGGTTTGGTTGTTTGGGGGTTTTTTTGTTGTTTTTTTTTGTTTGTTTGGTTGTTTTTTTGGTTTTTTATGTTGTGTTTCCGATTCCCAATTTCTATATGCATATATAGCTTATAGCTTTTAATATCATGGTCACATACTTCATTTTCCTTCAGATCCCAAAATCATCAGTGCTCAGAATAGCCAATGAACAACTACTTAATATTCCTTTTAATCTCTTTTATTCAACAATAAACTCAGACACCACTGATCTTTTGGGAATCACGAACAACAGTTTAATGTAAAGTTTGGAGAAAAGACTTAATTATAAAGCCTTGTGAATTTTCTCTTCTCTTTTCCTTTCCCTTTCCCTTTCCTTTCAGCTCTTGCCTGACCTCAGACTCATCTCACCTCCTCTCAGGTCCTTTGCTTGTTCCACTCCAAGGAACCCCTCAGCTACTGTGCTACCCAAAGGGTGGCAGCACAAGTCTTCAAACACCAAAACAAAAATATGGCTCAGAATGCAGACAGTTCCCTCAACCAGCTTGACTTTCAGCTGTCAGAGCAGTGTTCACACAGGGAAAGGGGTGGGAACAGGGTGAGACTGGTTTAAGTTGCTGTTGAACTACATTGTGAGTGACATAGGAACTTGTCTTTCCATGGCATGGGACTGTGCCATTAATCCATGCCTAAAGAGAAGGGAAACACACTCTTATGTTGAGAATACTAGGTTCCATCCATACCAAAACTTTGTAAATCTTGCTAAAATCTGTTTGTCCTTCTGTCTGAACGCTGACAGTGGCTTGGATAACAGAACAGAGGTAACATGAAAAAATTTATTACAACTTGTATTACAACAATTTCCATGGGATTTTTGTTTTGGGAGGTATTTTCTGTTGTTGTTTTGGGGTGTGGGGGAATTGGGTTTTGATTTTTTTTTTTTTTTTACATTTGTACAAGGCTTAAATGTGTTACAAAGTTCTTGTGCATTCATTCCAGCTGTACTCCTGTCCCAGTCCTTCCAGTGCCCTCCATGGGGATCTCCTTGGCTAAACACAAGCTCAGAGATCAGCACAAAAGAACAGGATGAATCTGCAAGGTGCTCTGTAACAACAGGTACCTTTAGCTGTTAACTTAAGGCTTAAGAATTAAATACCACCCTTTTCAGGTTACCTTAATAATGCTTCCTGTTCTTGCCTCGTATGATGCAGCTCTCTTAAACCTGTATTGCATTACATCTGCAGGAACATACACACAGATGTTTGCAAAAAAAGAGGAGTTTGTTCCAACTCCTACCAGCTAAAAAGCATAGGGTCCACAATGCACTGAGCAATACCAGCAGGTGAATGGAGATATACAGACTTTAGGAACAGAAGCTTCACTAAATATGTATCAATGTGAACGTATGAAAATACATAAATATGTGAATAGTTGCACAACCCACACTTCTCCACTAGATTCTGCAGAATAACATAAAATGAATGCCCAGGTATCGAGATGATGAACAAGTGCTGCACTTATTTGTCAGTCAGCAGAGCTGTGGGAGGTAGGAATTAAAGGTGAATTTGAAACTGGAAGAACAACGGGAAAGATGAATTCCATCTACAGACAGTTTGGCACTGCTCTGCTGATCCAAGCAGAAAAGGGAACAAAAGTTGCAAATTACCAGAAAAAGAAGCCATGTTATATTGGCATTAGTGGTCTTTCCACATTACACAGAGTTTAAAATATGAATATAAATTAGATGTAAATGTTCATGTAACATGTTAGAAAAATTCCTTTACATGCTGTAATTTACACAAACATACACACGAACAGAAAAAACTGTACAACTTACATGTATCACTAAGCAGGATACTCTGCAGATTCTCATAATTAACACTTGCATATGTATATATGATATTTCCAAAGATTTCAAGATTTTTTTCTCAGATTGCTTCTTTAAAACTCACAAAATATAATGAAATTCACTTTTAAAACTGCAAAGACTGCTGTGTGCTTAAGCAAGCCATTACTTGCTCACTCATAATCATCTTTTCCCTGTCTGTTGGAATCACTGATGCATTAATTGCTTATCAAAACTTGAAACAGTTCATGAGTCACTCCAAAAATAAAATAAATAAATAAATATTAATGAGCCAATTTCAATGGAATTCATGTCCTATGCATCTTAAAGCTAAAAACTGTATTTATTACATGTCAGAATTAAGTCTTGATACCTAATAAATGGGAAAATATGAAATACAAAATATACTGATTGACTAGATCGCCATTTTTCAAGGGATAATTGCATGGTAATTTTATTTGATCAAATTAAAGATCAAAGAGAGAAAGGATTGGTCAATTATAACAGAAATGAACTGAAAGAGATGGGTAGGTCTGATGCAGTATGAGTGAAAAATGAAGAATTTAGGGTTGAACTTTTGGAAGTGATTCTATATCAGACGATCTTAACAGAAGTAAACACATAATCTTCAAACAAACACATTGGTAACAAATGTCGTTACATAGGAAATTTTCTGTATTCTTTACATTGTATGAACAAAGGGGAGAAGAGAGAGAGGCACAGAGTTTTCAGGAATACAAAAGCATTTCATTTTGGATCAATATGAAATGTTCATTAAGCCAAAACACTAGTTGGAAGGCTCTTCACCTATTTAATTTTTTTACTAAAAATGAAATACAGTGATATACACTATTTTGGAGTGTAAAAACTTTCGCTTTTTTAAAACAAGAGTGTGCTGAGAGATTTTTAAGTCTGTGCCCATGACAGTTCATTGCTGAAAATCCAAGTCTAAAACTTTTCAAATTAAATTACCCAGGATGAAACAGGAAACACAAGTCCTTCCCTTGAGTATTTATTTGCTTGTTCTAACTTGTTCCTGAAAATTGTAGGCAAAAAAGATCCCACAGAAATCAAAGGGGCAACAGGGTATATCCCTGAAAGGCAACTGTAGCTCTGATATAACTTGAATTAGACAGACATCAGTGAGCCACTTTTGAGCCAAACTGTTAGTGAAAAAGCTTTTCCAAAAAAAAAAGACAGTTTTTCTCAAGGAAGTTCAGCAGCAGGATATTATGGTTCATGTAGCTGGCTGGTATAAAGCAGATAAAATGGGAAATTCGCAGAGTGAGCAATTTTCCAGTTACTCAGTGACTAAGCAGGATGAAGAATCAGTTTTAATAAACTCTGAGTCTTAGTAAGAAATGAAAAATGCTTTATTTATTATATTAGGTCAAGTTGTTTACTGTCAGAGGTCCTATCAACTGCTTAGCAGAAGAAATTGCTTCAACCTCAGCTAGTCACGTACTGAGGTTATGGCAGTCCTAGAAGTATTACTGCACCTCAGCTGCTGCCACACCAGAGGGACACCCAGACACCCTCTTCAGACCAGTGTGTACCATAAAACTAAAGGCATCTCCCCAAACCAAGTTATCCAATCCAGCATTTAACACAGAATATGTCACTGTCAGTGAAGTCTGAATGTAAGAATACAGAGAAAAATACAATTACAAAACATAATACAGATTAAAAATAATACATGAAAAATTCAAATTTTGGTATTTAACCTTCATAAATTAGCAGATATACTAGGGTTTTTCCTAATATGTAGCTAAGTAGTGCACACTTTCCCTAACAGTATCTTAAAGTTCTTCACTTCATGCATTCACAGCTAACAGAGCTCTCACATAACTTGCTTTTTCTCTCAAGCATATATGTAAGGTAGGACTCAGTTTATGTCACAAATGAACTGCACTACTTCATCTGAAACCTCAATAATTACGGAAATAATATATGCAAAGTCATAGGTTCTCCAAGGCAGGTCAATAGTATCTAAAATAAAGATTGCTTAAATTTATCATTATGTGCACACAGGGTAACAATGAAGTGATTAGAAAATTTTCTTATGTTCATGAAAAACGTTTTTTGCGCTCCTAAAAATTGCATTGTCAAATGAAGCTGAACGCAAGATACAAACACGTTCTTCACCATAAAAGTGTCCAAACAAGTAAGAATTATCAGTCCCACTTTTCCTACTGTCACTGCGTGTGTATAAACCACCTTCTTACCTGCTCAGATAACTCTGACCCATGGTTATGAGCCTGTACCAGAGCATCATTAACAAGCGAATGAAAGTTGAGAAGCACATGCTCAATGTCGTGTGTTCCACTCATGGCGCTTGAGAGCTCCTCCAGGGACTGAATATATCCCCGCCAATGAAGATCAATTTCCGCTGTGTTGGCTAAGCAGCCCCGGATGATGTTGAGGCAGTAGCCCATGCAGGGCTTGCTCGTCATCAGTCCCTGGCAGTGGGGGCAGTACTGCATTCTCAGTAAAGCTCTGCTGCAGTCTTTGGAGAGATGCAGGTGATCTGTTGTATTGATCACTTCAATCCCCAAATTCAGAGCCTGCAAGAAAGTCCGGCTGGATAAGAGGGATCTTCCCATTTGACCTATGGCCTTTTTGGGAATGTTGCCAAAGGGCCTGATGTCTCTTCTCGCCGTCTGTAGACACTCTGCATATTCCAGTGAAATGTCAGTCAGACCAGGGTTAATCACGTGGTTGTAGACTACCGGAAACAGTGTGTCAAAAAATCTATTCACAGATTCCTCTGTGCTAATGTCCGTGCCAAATACGAAGAGTCCAACATCAGTGAAAAACTCCTGAACATGCACAGTAGCCTCAGCAGCCATGTTTCTATATGCAGTGCAGAAAAGTGTGCTTGTGTAATTCTCAGCCAGTCTGATAAGCATTTCAAAGGTTTCTGTAATTAATAAATCAATCAATCAGTCAATCATTATTTTTAAGGTTTAAAAAATAAGAAATTAGAGTAATAAGAACTCAAAACAGTTACATTAGGACAACTTACATTTACCCTAGATGAATTTTTGCATTAGAATTTTTGAAGAGACAAACTTCTGACAAATTATGACAACTGTCATATAGGGAAACTGTATATAGGGAAACACTTTACAAATAACGTTATAACACAATTAATAATCCATATGTTTTCCTTGCAGGTTATATTAAACACAGTCTAAAAAAAGACATCTCCTCCGATGCAGCAGCCCAGAACAGCATGGATAAAAATTTAAGTCAAATTGATTCTTGGTTTAGATTGCTTGAAATAATGAAGTGTGAAGAATATTAAAGGTTTATATGAAAATAGCTATCTTTGTAACTGTAAATTCAGTCCTTTACACAAATTTTGCCAATGCTTTAGATGAAAATTGTTAGGTAATATTAGTAAAATAGTGATGTTTCAATAATACCTATAGAATTACATTAGTAAGTTTTTTATAACCCTTTTTTTTTATTACTACTTTTCCTAGATGAAAACCATAAAGAACGTGATCTAAAATGTCTGCCTCAATCCCTGGGTGCAGTATCCTATTACCAAGAGCACAAATAGTAGTTGAAAGACTAAACCATGCTGCAGATGGATAATCAATAGATTTTACAATATGGTATAAACAATAACAAATCTTCAATATTCAACTACATTGCTAGTGCCTCAGCAACCCCCAGATGAATGAGTACAACAATCAACTGTATAATCGATTGGCTATTTGCGCTTTTCTAAACAGGACATTATGATACTGTCCACTTGTGTTTACAATTCTGCATCACACTGTTTAACTGTCATTTTTGGATTTCTTTAAAAATTTGTTAATCAGGTTTATTTTACTGTCACATTTTCTACTTTATAACCACCAAGGCTATTGCAGAGATTTGTTCTGCTCTCAGACAGTCTGACAGACAGCAAAGCAGACCTATGTTTACTTTCAATATTGAACAGCATCTATGAATACCTTATGATGGCAATCTATGTCATTTATAACACATACAGATACCTCAGTGACAAATCAAGTTATGTTGGTTCAATACTGCAAATATATCATAGACATAGCAATGTGTTTCTTTATCTTTTAAATCTATGGGCTCAGACTAACATATTCCTAATAACATAGTCCTAATTATTCAGCCGCATAAAAGAAGTGCTGAGTTTTCAATCAATACAAAGCTAACACACATAAAATACATTTTAAATATAACCAAGATGACTTAGACAAGCTCTTTTTATTGTTATTAAATGACTTTTTTAATCTGCAGGCTCAGTGCTTCTTATCTCCATCCCTGATCAGATCTCCATATTAATCACTATACAATATCCTACAGAACTCTCTGCAGTACTCCTGTCAATAACATCTAGCATTTACCAGAGATGAAATGTCAATTTTTCTTTTTCTAGAATTAAAACTAGTATTTATACATTCCTAAGTCAAAAATCAGAGTTTTCAATATCTTAACCCATTAATTTTTTTAAAGAACAGTACTGTTTCTCTTCCTGATTTTGCTAAGAAGGAACAAAACTCAAGGCTAGGAAAAAATGTAGATGAGAACTTGTTTTATGTATTATGTTTATTCACCTGATACTTCATATCAGTACATATATAATTATTTTTTGATAATAGTGTATTTAACAAAGGGATCAAAAAGTGATGTAAAATAACTATCAAGTAATTGCTTTAAAAGATTTGCTGTCTTATTCTTTAACCTTTCTGTTCCTGAGAGCCATGAGTAGTTCTAAACTACAAAGATGTCCCAGTTTAGCAATCAGTCCAGTGGATTACTAACTTTAATAGAAAATTCAAAAGTATACACATGCCCTGTTTACTAGAAAAAGTCACAAAAGGAAACAAAAAAGAAATGTTTTTTATTCCTGGACATTATTCATTAATCAGATTTAATGGAAATACTGCAGAGAATGAAATAGAATCTGGATTGGATTTAAATCAGCCCTGTGATTCTCATCTTTAATAGTTTTGAAAAAGTGTCTTTCTACTACAGGTACCTTGGAAAATTAATTTGGAATAAATTTCTATGAAACTGTATTGTTCTAAAATATCTGAATTTTCTTAAGTTTACCCTTTCTTCAAATGGATGAATGTACTATAGAAGCTGCTAAATGAGCAAATGCATGGTCTAAATTCTGAGCACTGCCTTTTGAAACACACATAGTACTTAGTGCAAAGATAATCTAATAAATTAAAAATCCAATATGGGCCAACAAGTTGTGAAGTCTTATAATTCAGCAGTACTTTACCAGCCCACAATAAATATTATAAATTAATTCACAGTTAGTCAGGGTATTATATAGAAATCAATAAATTATAACCGGACAGGTTAAAATCCATCCTTGAATTATGGACATTGTATTTAGCAAGACTGCCTTTCATGGTCCAGAGGGGAAGCAAAACTCATGAGCCTAGATTACCTTAATGATCAGCCCACAACACATAGGAATCTAGATAACCAAATCCAAGCAAAAGCTGAAAAACCTAACAATTATATGAATTTATTATGATTTGAAAAATCCTATGGGAAAGTATTAGACTGTTGACAGCTGCCATTAATGTTTGGTGATTTCATAATTTTTCCTTCTGTTTATAACCCAGAAGCATCAAACTCTCTCTCCCTAAAGACTTATACTCCAATCAAATGTATCTTGTATACATTGTCCTACTGGAGTCATGGGGAATCTCTCAGTTAAAGTACACAACCTAGGTAGCAAAAGGCATTCAAAAATTATGAAAAAAACCGGTGTAAAATAAATTAATCCACACAATATTACATTCATAATATCTTTGTTTAAAATACATCAAATAGAAAAATTCATATAGGTGGGAAATTCACTGTGGCTGTTCCTAACTACAAAGCAGTTCACAGTGCCATATATACTGCAAAACCCCTCAATCACTTACCATATCAGAAAAATGAGCTGGAAGAATAATGTTTTCAAGATATGTAAATGGATTACTAAGAATGAACTCATTAGGGCATTGCCTGTGAAGGTTATTTGGGAGAGAGGTAAAAAGGATAAGTGCGAACGGAATAGATTTTAGACTCACTAAAACTGCTCCTCATTAACACGTATTTCAAATTAATCCATTTCATAGACTGTAGACTCACCACTGAAGTCAGTAAGAAAACAGGTGTAACCGATTAAACCTGTAGCACAGACAACTTTGTGTTGTCAAATGCTAGTGATACACCTCAGGCTTTGCAGCCCGAAGTACTCATAACAGACTTCAGAATTTGTCATATCTTCTTTAGACCTGAATTTATTTTATTAGTCTTTGAAATAAACACAAATATTTAAGAAACCTGAATTAGAATCAGTTGACAATTGTCTAAGTTGTCTGTGTTCCATGGCGTAAATACTCAGATATTCAAATATCAGGAGTTTCTCACGTATCCTGTGATTTTGGGTTTGGTTTAGTTATACTGTAATTTTTTTTTTTTTAGTTGTGGTTTGTGTTGGGGTTTTCATGGTCTTTTTAGCATCAGGACACGAGGAAGTTGGTACATTTATTTGGAGTATTAATAGGAATTAGCAATCACACATAATTTAGGCTATAAGTATTAGTTACACTGAAAAGAACTGTTGCACTTTGAAAAGAAACAGCAAATTCTCTGAAATCTATATGTAAGGTACTGCTCTCCTTTACTTCCATAATGAAATTGTGAGGACTCAAAAGAAACTCTTTCCCAAGTTAACCAATAAACAGAATGTAGAAAACATGTCCCAAAGCCATCTCAGGTGAGATGAAGTTTTACACATATTGCGCTACATCTTTTCCTGAGTCTGAACTGATAATGATACTTCTCATTCTTATTTTATAATCCACCTAATATCATCATCAGTGTTAACCTTTGCTTAGTAATTCTGATACCAACTATTTTGCCATGTAGAACTTGCTTTCTAAGTCAACAAATACAGGTGTCTTTTAGTTTTCCTTCTTTGTCTTGCTATGTATACATTCAAGAACAGGCCCAGCACTACAAGAGGGCTCAAGTTCAGCTGATCTGACACCATGATCTCCAAGTCTTGTAATTTGCTTGGGGTTTTTTGTATAAAATATTGGAATAAATTTTATCTTTATCCAGTTCTCTGGAGTTACATTAATTTTTACAACTTAATGGAAGTCACCACAATTGATTCAGAACATTATTTTTGACCTTTTCAGTGCAACTTACTGCTGTTGATTTTAAAATATCTCACCTTAGAATCTATTTAACATAGTCCCAAGTAGTAACTGGAATGTAAAGTATTACTAATCATGTCTTGATAGATTATATTTTAATATTGAATGACTTTCATATGAATGATTACATTAATGAATATCATAAAGTTATTATTTTATCTAGTTATAATCACTGATTCCACTTTCCTCCCCAAACTATTCTTCTTTTTCTTTTTTTCAGTCTGTTGTTATCCTTTTAATAGTGCTGACTATGGAAACATTCATCTAGTCATTTTGGAAGCAACATGAGCAGATTGTTATGCATGGTGCCAGGAGAAGAAACAACTAGCAATTAACAGAGCTCAACCAAACCATTTTTTAATCTCTTGGATTCTGTTTGTGTTCTTTCTGATTTTGCATTGTTCCATGTATTTCACAGGCAATGCTTTCTTTCCCAGAGGAAAATATTTCTAAATTCTGAATGTATTGCTCATTACCCTGGAATGAAATACACTCAAGAGTTGCAAGCAGACCACTGAGGGGAATCAGAACTTTAACACTTCCTATAATCAAGTTGTTTGGAAAATATTTTGACTTCAAATGTTGTGCATGGTTTGCCAAAAGGACGTTAAATTGATACTGATTTAAGATAACTGTTTTTACACATTTGCCAAAATAAAAAGGGTGGCAAGTCATCTTAGATGTATGAAAAGGGTATTTTTTGAAAAGAGGAAGT